CCCAGCCCCTTCCACTCTTCCTTCAAGGTCTAGAAAACAGATGAGAGTCTTCAAAGTTCAAAACACAAAACCACAATAATATATGTGGCAACTCTTTTTAAACAAATAATTGTGGGTTTTTTTGTTGCTGATTGATAGCTGAGAAAGGTCCAACTACAGAAAGCTCCTACTGAAAGAGCTCTTTAGTGTTGAGAGAAAAAGATCAGGGACAAAAATTGAAATAAAAATGAGTTTTCATACCCGGAACGCAATCACAGCATAATCACTGTTTTTCATCAGCTTCCAGCTCTGTTATCCGTTACATCCAACAGTTCCTCACATTATATCCAGTGGTCCATCAGGTTTTGTAGTCAAATAGAACTGAACATCTGCTTGCGTACCTTAATAGAAACTACCTTCTAATAGGAGTCATATGTTGTGAAGATAGGACAAGTTATTTCGCATTTATCCATAGTAAAAGTATTTCATGAAATAGCTATTTGTGGTGTGCTATTATGAAGTCAAACCTCAGTCTAATTAATTCTCCATCCTGGCATTTTTCATGTACGTATTCCTATAAAAATAAGCGTTGTGGTGTTTATTTGAGGAAGGAATATCAGGGCGCCTGAAATACATGATCATGTTTCAATTTTGATGTAGGCTAATCCAAAAGTTCTGGACTGCGTATTCGTTTAAGAATTAAAATACAACTCACAAGGCTTTATTTCTGATTACTGTGTTGCTGTTTTATTTACATCGCGTAATAGAAAGGAAGTCAAGAGCAGAGACTGTATTTAATGCAAGTGTCTTTCTGAACCGTGACAACTATCACTCCTGAATGGAAATCATAACCGTATGCAATGTTTAGGGAAATTTAAGTACATTACTAGCTATCCTTGACTGTCATAGCAAGGATTATTTATATGTGCCATCTGCAGTTCAATAACACTAAATATTTAATGAGTTCAGGAATAGTAGATAAATATTTAACAATGCTGTGTCAACATTTGCATGCATTGAACAATTGTTTGTCACCGCCAAACAAACCGGCCTGATGTGGGGGGATGATTATTTTGCTTAGCAATTCAAATGGCTTCTGTGCAGTCAGACCCAAGGTAGTAGAACATTAAGGCTGGAAAAGGACCAGTTCAAAATGTCACTCACCAGCATTTCTGTTCCACTGTTAGCCCAGCCAGGGTAGCATTTGCCTTTGCACAACTTGTGGTGATTCCCTGTCTGCASAGCTCCTCTGCTTAAAACAAGACTGCATCTGTTCTGTTGGGCTTTGGCTTTGCATCTTGTATGGTCCTCTCCCTAGATGACTCTGAAATGAAATAGAAATACCGGGTTTATGCATGTATTTATTTAAAGCACTTGCACAGAGTATTTATGACCAGATATTCCAGATGTTAAATGGTTTTAAAGTCAAGGAGCAGAGAAGATAGTCAAGCCAACAACTTTACTTCTCAGTCATTTAATAGTTTATAGTCTCAAATAGAATTTCACAAGAATATATGCCTTGTATGTTGGCACTTCAGTTTCCTTATTACAGAAGAAGTGTGAAATAATGACACCAGACTGAAAATATATGTGACTGGATCCCCTATTTCGATTATCTGGATATAAATTTAAGAACTCTACCTGATTAAAAGCTGCTATGGAACTGCAAAAAAGTATGGAGAAAATGAGCTGAGAACTGTTGGAAGACAATTTTTCAAAATTCTTTTAAAAAATGCTGTCTTTAAATGTGCTTTATTATAGGTAAATATGAGCCCAAGGTGGCCAGGCATTGCAGTACATAAATCTGCTGTGCCTGGGTTCGTATGCATAAGTACATTTCCATTCAAATAAAATCTGTGTCTTTGGAGTGGCCTTACGATGATGGTATTTGCCTGCAGGGTAAGTTGCCACACAGCTCATGTTCTGTCTTCAAGGAGAGCTATTTGCCTTTATTTTTACATGAATTAATTCTAAAAATTTCTACTCCGCTTACGTCTTGTCTGCTATTTACAGCATATGTCTGAAAGTTTATTGGCACAAATATGCCCTGTAATGCCTTTCACCAAGTATTATTTGAAGTACTTGTATAAGCTAATTCTTATATCATTGAATGGAAGTTTTTTTAGTTAACATTTGTCACTGTAAAACTTCTTTTGATGACTTCCCTGCTGACTTGCCTGTTTCTCTGACTGACCTGCAATTTCTGTGGAGATATGCCCTGGCATGCTTTGAATACCCTGGGAATAATGTCTTGGAAAGCTATTTGAGAAGTGTCATTGTCCCCCAAGGTTAGGTTTACTGCTAGGTAAATTTAGGAATAATCTATCTAAACAATTTTGCAGTAATGGAAGAAAGAAACTAWAACAAATGAAAAATGAACATGCCAAAATGTTTCTTCTCAGGTAGCCTGGCTTATGTTTAGAAATAAAAACACAGAAAATTAAATTAGTTTTTATAGCTTTTAGTCTCTTCTTAATGGCATTTCAACTGAGTCTTGAGTATTATACTGTTTTGCATTGTAAATACTCCATATGTGTATTACTTGGAAGTGTGTTATCCTGTAGAGAGCTCTCATCATCTTCAGATCAAGATTTTTTTTCAGTCAATTTGTCAAGTGTGAATAATTAATGAACAGTCATGCTTAAATTTTTCCGAGTTGAGAGCTTACAGACTTGCATCTTTAAAAAGATCATTAAAGTACTGGTTTGTCAGCTAAATACACATGAAACTGTCCTGTCTCATTAACTAAATATTTTATAGTTTCTTGATATTCCCAATTGAAACAAGAAGCCAAACAAAATAACTCGAGTGATATTTTTTAACAGTTACTATGCTGGGTGACTAAGACTAGCACCTAAAATGTGTTTCCTCCCAAGCAGCGAATAGAATTGTATCTTCAGAAGTAGCAGGATAAAATTTACTTTTTTGGGAAGAAGGATAAGAATCCACCTGCCTTCCAGGAAGAAACCTAGACAGCTTTTAACACTAGACTATCATGAGGAAGGGAAGTTTTGCTATATCTGTTCTCTGTGTGTGCATACATGTTTGTGTATATACAAATATTTTAGATTCTCTGTAATGTATGTTATAATAGTGGCTTAAATTGCTAGCAGGTACAGAGAATAATTTATTTAAATAAAGTGTATAATTGAGGTTAAAACAGAGGATGTCAAATAGCTTTCACAAGGAAAGATCAGCATTGTTTTAGCTGCATGAGATATGACACAAGGTCACTATTCCTGTGATGCGGTCAAAACTAAGTCAGGAGTCCACTGGAGAGGACCTTTTTGGACTAATGTGTAGTCACCATGCTGTGAAAAATGGCAGGATAAACAGCCTCAATTTATCTCATTATTGCATACAAAGTTCAAAATCAGGTTGACTGGGTTAGTGTTATGAGAAGAGTATTTGGATTGCCAGTGGAGATGGGTTCTTCTAATGACAGTTTTATATGCCAGGAGTAATGCAGACAGGTCCTTTATACCACAGCAAAGGATGGTGATAAAGAATCAGTCAATTAGGTCGCATTTTAACTTCATCATTAACTTGTCCTAATGTGAAATATTCCTATTTCCTTCATTAAATTACTCTATTTTGCCTCGGTGTGATTTAAAAGGGGCCCTGACAAGCAGTCAAGAAATACAGATTGGATTTTTGTCATATACTATTGACATGAGATTATCTTTGAGATCTGTGATTTCTGTCGTGTTAAAGAAAAAAAAGATGATTTCTTTGAGAGATGGAATTGTTTAGATGCATGAAGTTCTTGCCTGATTTAGCTTTGAATTGGCTATTTGAACATAATATAATTGAATTTTGAAAACAGTAGGTAACCATTCATTGAATAAAAACTATATTATCATATCTTATGAACTACATGTGTTTTGACAGTACATCAACCAACATTTAACCCATGTGAATCCAGAGTTCTGTGTGCTGAAGATGACATAATATTTCAAATCCAAATTGTCCCAAATCTTGATAAGKATGGTTGATAAGAACTGTTGAGAATAAAATTAATAAAAGCAAAATGTGTGGATTAAAATAAACAAACAGAATGCTATAACTAAGAAGAGGTGAAAGTTCCTCTTTCTCTTATTTGAAGCAAGCATTTTTCAGTATATTTTAGTAGGATGAAAATTTCATCTAGGCATCAGAACCCAAAAAAAGATACCTATATATAGAGATAGGTACACACACACTACTTCAAAAAAATAGATATGATATCTTTTCATCTAATTAATTCAGTAGTGGAGAGAAAATCTCCCCCTTTTTGTACATATTTGTAGTCCTTCAAATTTTTGCTTTCTTTACTTGATAAAATATCTAGTTAAAAATACATTTAACAATTTCTGAATAATTTCTGTGTATTCTTAATTTACTAAATGAGCCCATTAACAATCATTTTTAGTAAAAAAAAATGAACTTCATTAGGTTGGCATTTGGTATTTGTATCTAGCATTACATTTTTTGCARCTCCATATAAACCAGATATTTATGAGCTAGAATCTTTTTTTCTGGACATACCTGTACCTTCTTAGGGAAGAAAGATGAARTAGACTGTGTATGGGGAAACTCCTCTCATTTTGCATAACACAAAAGCAGACTGACTTTTTAAAGATGTGTTCTGAGGTTCAACTTTAACTTCTGTGAAAATGAAGCATCCTTGATTTCATTACCTCCCTTCTCAAAAAATGATCTGCCAACAAACAAATGCATATTTGCTACATCAATGTGCACGGTGTACTCCACATCAACAGTTATGTGAAAATGTCCAACATAACATAAATGTATATGAAATACTGCATACATTCTGTGTATTTATGTATATATACTTTGCCTAATTAAGCTCTGCTTTTAACATTCTTTTTTACTAAATRCATGTACATAAACTACTGTTTGTCTGTAGCAGTTACTGTTACCTGCGTTTCTGTACAAAACAGCTTTTATTTTGTTTCACATGCATCTGATTGTGCCTCCTTTTCTTCTAAAGAGAGTTGTTTTTTCTTTTTATTTTGCAGAGTTACATACACGGAAGCAGTCAGGCTCAGTTTGTTGCGGAGTCACATATTATTCTTCTACTAAGTATCCTTTAAAAAGGTGCTGAATAGAAAAAGGCAAGCTGAAGCTTGCTCTGACAGTGGATATCATTGAAGCTTTGAGCAGGTATCACTATATGATTTACTATATGATTAAATAAATGTTCAGTGTTGTTGCTATTTACTACCAAGCAAAACTGGCACAGCTTTTCAGTAATATGTGCTCTGTTACCTCCTTTGTTGTGATGATGCGTAGTTACTACTCTTAAGGGTTTTCCTTTTGCTGTTGTCTTTTTCAGTAGCAGAAAGTAATTTTTTCCTCATTTTCAATATTATGTTAAAAGTGATAAACTAGAAATTATTTTATTTCTTTTAATTGTTAAGGAGAACATACTAGTTGTTCAAACAGTATCTTGCCAATTATGTATGAAGATTTATCCTCCAATAGTCTTTGTGTTTTCCATATTTTTTCAACTAATCTAAACAGATTACCTCTTGTTTCYGTTACCGTAAATAACCTAGTACCGTTATAATATCGAGCACAAAGACACCTATTTAGAGAAGTTATTTTTCTGCAAATGTCATAATAATTATTAAGTATATTCGTATATATTCAGATTTTATTGAGTCTCACTTCTAATCAGCTGTGTTCATTGAGTGAAAATAGTACTCKCCATTAACCACTATTAATGCAGAGTCATTTCATCACAATTTCTTTTCTCTRAGGAGAGGAGAGGAAAAAAAAACTTTTCCCAAGCTTTCAAGCACTAGCCAAACCTGAGTTCAGTGATCATAGCTACTGCCTTGTCCTTTCCCTGAAAGGGAAGCGTGTTAACTTGGATCCTGCCCTTCCTCTGTCTTTGCAACTACCTCTCTCTGTGGCATTTGCATGAAGACCATGACCAGACACTGGTCTTTGGTATCATTTTACGTGCTCTATCCAACTATATGACATCAACTTCCTACTGATTAAACCTCATTTGCTCGGTAGATAGCAAATTTAATTTCAAAGTTATGACCCTATTTTTCAGAGAAAATGCAGTATCCCCTAATGAAAGTGCTATCTTCTTGTTGGCAGAAAGGGTCTTTGAAGTGGGAAGCTGGTTAACTCTATTAATGTCGCTGCCTCAAGAATATTTGCAGTGAGATTATTTATTACCACTTGCAAAAAGAATTCTCCAAGGTTTCGTTTCATGGTTCAATACTATTGAGCTGAGATTTCAGCCACAAATTTCACAAGTGACATGAGGTCTTGACAGTTTTTAACAGTTATGCCTGAAAGAATGAATACTACTTTATCCTTTTAATGCTGGGAGTAATTGCTAACTGCTTCATTCCTTCTTTATTGTACTTAATTTCAGAAAATGTAGATATAAAATGTAGGAATTATTAAAAACTATGACAGATTGATAAACAGTAGCGTTTTCACTTTATCCCCTAAAGTTTGAGACACATGACATTYAAAAGCAAAGCATTACTGTGCTGTAGATTAAATGTTCCATTTGTTTTCTTCTTTTCACTTAGTAGTAGTGGTAAGAACAAGGACAAGATTGTCACTTCCTATYGGACGTTGAAGTAGTGTTGTATTTCTCAGTAAAATGAAATTGAATACCTTTTATGCAAGAAGAAAATATACATTTCCATTCCATGCACCGCAGCTTAAGTATCTCCTGCTATATTCTTGTTAGTTTAAATATTGATGCTACCCAGTCTGCTAGATGATTTCCATATAATGATCTGCTATTTTTTCAAAGTCCCTAGATACAAAAGGAGGAGGACATTAGTGGGAAGCACTCAAGAATGTATCASATATTCTGTTTCAGTTACATTCAAAAGCCAAATTAAGCTCGGTAACATCTACACAATATTACTTTATACATCCCAAGTGCATCCCCGGTATTTTTAGAAAATTAAAAAATATCTAGTTTTAGACTTAACAAATTGTTACTACCTCTTAAGAGTAGCACGATTGAAGTAAAGTCACTTTGATAATACAGCACACATAACACCACCTCAGTAAAATAATTCTTAAAGAAAAAGTACTGTCTCTGTCAAGATTATTTTTTAAGTAATTTTACTTCTGTAATATGTCTTCTAACAGCCAAAATACTGATATTGCACTTAGGAGCAGATCAGTGTGTTAGGTTTTAAACACTTTTTTTCCAAACACATTAAAAATTCCCACTAAGTTTATCAAAAGAAGAATGCAGACATTAACTCACTTCCAAAATCCCAAACTGTGTCCTGATTGATTCTGAGGTTCCTTGGAGATGACTGACAAAGGCCATCCTACCAGGGCTGGAGTTTATGCCAACTTACATCTGCAGTAAGGATTTTGTTTAGACTGGAAAAACAGCATCGCCCTATTTTGACATAGGTCTTGTTGAACTTCAGATTGTAGCATAATGAAGAAAAAAATGAATTTTCTTTTTTTTTTTTTAAGAAAGGAGTAGTGTATTTTGTAAGAGGTAGGCTACTCAATTATGCTATTCTATTTACATTATGTAATGACATTTTGTAGATATTCCATCTGTTTCACATACACATATCAATTCTAGACTGCATTGTTTGAGGAAAAATAGTTGTGTGTTCTTATGCCTAGACTAAAAATTTGTCAGTATGACTTAATCTTTGTTTTCTCCCACAGAATTCTTGTTTGATCTTTTTAAAGTAACTTAATCACTCCATATCCAGGCTAATCCATCTGTGAATTTGTGATAATTGTGCTTTCTCCCATCGTTTATTGGTCTCCTGTAGTTAAGTGTAAACTCTGCAGATTAGATACTGTAAATTAAAATGTGTATTTGCTATTGAGTCAGATTCACTCATGGAACAGAAAGAGAGTTAAGTCTCTGTTGCCCATAGATGATTTATTCAACTGGCAGTTAAATGCTCAAGGCATGAAGAGACCTCTGAGCTGGCTGTGAACAGAGACAACTCAAATCAAACACCAGGAGAACATGACATAGTTGTGGTTGTACTTGTTTCAGGACCTGTTCAGAACAGTTTAGGTCTGCCCTGGTGACAGAGAGGTCTCATATATCCTAAACGTACTAGATCCAAATCTATGGTGTAGTCTTGGCATCCCAGTTCATTTTTTCTCATTACTAGGAATGTAGTTCCGAGTATCCAGTTGCCCAGGTTCAAGCTGATCCAGGATTACTAAGCTTTGCTGGACACACACACTGATACCCGGGTCTGCCGGTGGGAGAGCCCTCAGTAGCGAGCTGTTGTGTCAGGTGCTGAGCGAACACCACAAGCCAACAGCTCAGACTGTGCTAGTTAAGCCCTTGTGGGGTGGGTATCGTCCAGCACGATGAAGGAGCGTGCATAGATGTGGTGGTGCTTGTTGTGTCACACATTTCTCATACTGTGACCTATTTAATTATAATTATAGAAACTTTGGTGTCTTTATATTATGCTGATAGTATTATGGCTGTTACTCAAATTCTTCTCTTACTTTTCTGCTCCCATTTTGCCTTGCCATGGAGAGCTGACTGCAATAACTGATCATGGAATCATATAGATCTTGTGAAAAAGGGCTTTTGAAGGTAACATAGTGCCCCCTTTTCTAGAGCAGGATTATCATTATCATTGAATTAGGTCTTCCAYGGCTTTGGCCAGCCAAGTCCTGAAAAACTCCAAGGATGGAGATTGCATAACCTTCCTGGACAGTTACGTAAGTGAAGAAGCTGTTCGTAGCATCCCACCCGAACCACCAGAGCTACAAGACATGGCAGTAGCTTGCTGCTGTGTGTAAAGATCTTGTCCATCACAAGGCTTCAGCTACCTTTTTTTTTTTTTTTTTTTTTTTTTTTTTTTGCCAACAGATTCAATGGAGTCTTTGGTAATGTTTCCATACACAGATAAAAACTGTGTCCAGATTGACTATCCCACAATCAGCTGGTTTGGCATGAGACAGTTGCAGAACATTCTGCATTGAGGTTTCGAGCTATTCCCCTCCTGCTCATTTGTTCATTTCAAGCTGTTGAGTTTCTCCTGAACATGGATCTGATTCTGCTTTCCAGCCTGTTAGAGTGATGGTCAATTGTGCTGTAGCCAATGGCACTACAATGCTGTAAGGCTGAGATGAATGTGGCAGTGAGGGCATATTATGGAATGGAATAATGAGATCCAATATGTTTCAGCTTTTTTATCGCCTCGGGAAAATAAAAGTCAAGTTTTACTTTTATTCATGCTGCTTTACAGACCATTCCTTGCCATAGATTAGCAGATGGGAACATTTTTTTTCTTTTCTGGAAGAAAGTGGAGAGGGTGATGGTTTAATAAATTATAACTAAATGCATTACTTGCAGAAGAAAATTAATACTGAATAGAAGTTAGATATAACTTTAATGTGAAGTTGCATTTAATCTTGTGAAATGATATAGTCACATTTTTAAACATCTGTTTCCATTTTTCTTTGGAACTGACAAACTTTGGTTTCCTTCCCAGGAGCAACAGAAACTTGTTATCATGTGCAATTGAGAATGAAGCTTTATGTAATATATAAAGGTATTTATCCCTAGATTAGATGGATGATCACCACTTCAAGCAACTGTATATAATTTACACGTGTAATAATTTCTGGGTTTATGTAGAGTTATATCAATATTGTGACTTTCCTGAGAAGTAAAACTGATCAATAGATCATCACAGAAACTGAAATATACTCAAAGTAGAATAAATATGGCATGCTGCAGAAAAATTACTTAAAATAAGTGCATAGAATAACTTTATGCAGCCTTTTTTTGGGTAAATGGATACAAAAGTAGAAACTCACTTAAAGTTCTCAACATGCTAGACATTGTACAGTGTCTAATGTAAAATGTTTGCTTCTGAAGAGTACATAAACAATTARCTTTATTAATATAAGTAATCCTTTTAAGTCAATGAATTTGTTGGGTAGATATTTAATTTGACTATATGAAAAGGAGAACAGAATACATCTGAACATACGATTTAGCAGGATGATTCAGCAACTTCTCTTGTTCAAATTAAGGTTTACATCTATGCACATACGTGCAGATACACTGGATCAAATCA